TTGGTCGGGCGACTCTGGTAACATAGTATATATAAACACACACACACAGACACACACAGACACACACACACACAGACACACACACACACACACACGGAGAGAGAGAGAGAGAGAGAGAGAGAGAGAGAGAGAGAGAGAGAGAGAGAGAGAGAGAGAGAGAGATTGATTGATTTGATTGATTTTTTCAATTTTATTGAGATGCATATAAAATTTTATTTTGGCACAGCTTCATTGGCCATTCCGGTCACCACTCCACCAGGTGTAAGTTTGGTGATGGAATGATTAATCGCTTGCTTGATCGATTGATTGATTCATTCATTAATTCATTCACGTCATTGCGCTCCGATAGAGACATGCTGCCCAGAATGAGAGCAAGAGAGAGAGGGAGAGAGAGAGAGAACAACCTCCCTGGAACGTGATCTATTGATTGATTGGTTGTTTGATTGCATCTTCCCTTTGACATTCCCGGCCTGCCCTACGTTGCAACCATACTCACTCTCATTCACACTTCGCATGCATGCAAACAGGTGTGCAACAAACTGGCGACAAGCGCCCACTCAAAACTCAGAGGTATGGTAGCCAAGAACACAGTTCAAGTACAAGTTCACTTCAATGGCTATGGCGACTTAGCGCCCACACAACTCTCTGTTCGCACACACAGGATCACCCTGGATATCCCACACGCGATACTCTGTACACACACACACACACACACACACACACACACACACACACACACACACACACACACACTGAACTCTATCTACAGCTATGGCGGCGATGGTCGCTGCTAACTTATTGCTATGGCTAAGCTTCTTCTCTCTCGCCCACTTCGTCTTCGGGCTCACTGCAGACCACCTCGCACAAGTCGCTGTAGCAGCGCTTCCGCATGGCTCACGCAGGAATGAATGAATGGTTGGGCGCTGCCCTTTGATTTGTACTTCTGCAGCTCGTTGGTCTGGCCCTTTCCCATGCTTGTAGTGCACACAGTCCCATGCGGTACTTGCTCGACTGGACTAGGACTGACTAGGACTGGGACTGCTGACTCAGCACGGGTAGAATCCACCACTTGCCCACTTGCCTCAGCCTAAACATGGGCAACTTTGAAAGGCCACTACTCGGACCTTCCGGAAGGCCGTAGACCTGGCCTTTCGATACTGTAGCAGCTACGCCTTGACCTTTCTGGACTGTAGCAGCTACGACCTCGTTTCGGGAGAACTACAGCTACGACTTCTAGACCCTGCTAGGACTCCTTCCCGACAGGTCTACAGATCGAACCCCTACTGCCTACGGACCCTACAACAGTCTACCAACTGTTACAATACACAGGTCACGGGTTCAACTCTAGGGGTCGACACAGATACACAGGTAAGGTGAGGACTAGGGATCGAGCCTTGGGATCTGCATCGGCTACTGCGAACTGGTGAATACTATGTCGTCCGTGAATAACTCAGTCCAAGGCAGGACCTTTTGCTCTCTTATCTCTCTGATAGGCTCTAAGTATGTCGGGAGCTGTTTCTAGAAGTTCTGCTATAGTGAACCAGCGGTCGTCCTCCGGTTCCTGATAAGCAAACCGGACCTTATACTGCTTCTGCGGACGACCCTCTACCTCTTGTTCTAAACACGTCTTCACCTACAATGCCGTCAATGTCGTATCTTCCGTCCATGTCTGGAGGGATCATGGACCGTCTAGATGGAAACTGTTGACTGGTGACACACGGCAACAACTTTGACGCATGAAATACAGGGTAGGTGTGGAGGTGTGCTGGAATCTCTATAGTGTAGGATGACCCATCTCCTCCGCCCTTGACTTCTAGAACTGTCCGTTTGCGAGATGTTTTCCTCAGGAGCAAACTCTTTGGACTGGAGCTAGACTAAGTCGCCTACTTGAAACTGTGATGGGCGGCGGTGCTTATTAACCTGCTCTACCATCCGGTGCTGGGCCTTCCTGAGGTTCTCAACAACAATGGCTATCTCTTTGTCGTGTTGTATCGCAAACTCCTTGGTACCGGGCGGTAGCCTGTGAATCTAATCCTAGTTAAGTCCCTCAAACGGTCTACGCGGTCTAAAGGACTTGTGCAACTCGTTGGGAGTGCGACAGATGGACAAATGCACGCTGTTATTGTACGCACTGGCTACGTTGGGTAACATCTCGTCCCAGTTAATCTGATCAGGTCTAATATACATACGCAGAACTCGCTGCAGGATCTTGTTCCTCTGCCCAGTCTGACCGTTAGTCTCTGGATGGCGACCCGACGACATTAGCAGCTTTGACCCATAGACTTTCATCAGTTCCTGCCCGTTCTGACTCGTAAAGCGACTATCTCTATCACTGACTATAGACAATGGGACTCCATGCTCACTAACCCAAAAGTCAAAGAGCTTTTGTATGACTAACTCTGTACGTGCCTCTACAGGCAAAGGAACAAAAACAACATACTTGCTAAATCTATCGACTATAACCATGACTTGGCTCTTGCCGTGCCTACTCTTGACCTGAGTGTCCATAAAGTCAATGGACACGGAGTCTCCAGGCTGGTCAGGGATAGGTTAGGGTCTGAGAAGACCTAGCGGGGCTTGGGTCGTGGTCTTATTTCTTTGGCAGACTTTACAACTGCAGACGTACTCTATGCAATCGTTCTTCATTCCTGGCCACGTATACGCATGCATTAAGTTAGCTAAAGTCTTCTGCCAACCGAAGTGTCCCTCTCTGTCGTGGCATTCCCCCAGGATCAGA